ATTACGCACCCCCTGCCGCCACTGCCGCCGCCGCCCCTCGCGCCCCTCTCGCAGGAGCGCATCACCACTCGCAAGCGCGACGCGCATGGCCACCTGCAAACCCAGGAAGAGCTGCGGGGCGGCGTGCAGGACCCCCAGGCCTTCGAAGCCGAGTGGCGGCGCGCCGCGGAGCAGCGGCTGCCGCGCGGCGGGCAGCAGCAGCAGCAGCAGGGGCCGCAGAGGATCGCGGTCACCAGCGGCGGCGGCCATGGCCACGCGCAGATTCAGGGCGGCGGCGGCGGCGGCGGCGGAGGGGGCTACCAGCAGCAACATCAGTGGGGGCAGGCGGGCGGGCGGCAGGGGTGGGGGCAGCAGCAGTGGTGGGGCTAGGCGTTGGGAGGGGTTTGCCCCGCACAGTGGCCGATTCAGGGCGTGCACGAGACAGGGGCAGCAGGAGAGGGGCGTGGCGCCCTCGCCTTTGCCTTTTGATGAGACCGGCAATCCACGCCAGCACAAGCCGCTCGCCGCCTGCCCATTTGTGTGTCCCCCGCACACGTGCGCTGCAGCATCTTCCGGCGCTTCCTTGGGCGGTGTGCACAGCGTTGCCGTGCAAAGCCCGCTGTCCTGCCTGGCAGGCTTGCCTTGATTGCGCTTGATTAATTGTGTGCCTCCATCCTATGCCACAGCATTTTTCGCCGCAGCGAAGCCTTTTGCTTTTTCCGCCAGTTCCTGTTGTTTTCGCTTTGCCGCCGCAAAATTCGGCAACTTGTAGGGAACCAGCCACCGCCAGAAGCGCAGCGCGAACCACGCCGTGGCTGCGGCTGCTGTGTGCATGGCTGAGTCCGCTGCCGCGCACCCACATGCTTGGTTTGTCGACCCTGGCTGGCTGCAGGCCGCTTGTGCAGCCCCATCGCTCAACTGCCTCGATGCACCCTCTCAGTTGTGGCCGTGCACACGCGGTGCAATGCGCGGCGTGCGCTCCTGTCAGTTGCAAGCCACCCCTACGGCCGGCGAAGCGCATCGCAAATTGGCGCATGCGAGTTATTGCCTGTGTTGTCAGCACGCATCATCCGGATGACTTGCGTGCACACACTCACACCCATGTACTCCCATAAATGCGATCCACCGGCAGTGCTCGCCTGTAACAAAACCTCTGCATCACTCGTCCTCGCTGAGTGCGGCGCCCTGCTGGCCCCTGCACTGGATCAGAATCCTGATTGCAGTACAGCTTGCCGCCTCATTGCAGTACAGCTTGAGTGTGCGCACGGTCGAAACATATAACGGAGCAACGGTCATTGTCGTGAGCAAGACTCACATGCATGGGAGTGACTCTGCAGGTCTACCTGCAGGCGTGCTTGGGTCCGTCGCGGCACTGGGTGCGTGGTCACGCTGACTTAGGCACGGTTGATCGGCTGCTGGGCTCCGCGCCACCTCCGCGAGGGGGATGCACGGGATCATTGCTGTAAGGAACTCACCCGGGTAGGTAGCAAGAAAATCCAGCTGTCTTTATCGCGTCCTACTACCTCTACATGCACGAGCTGGCTTTTGTGCGCGCGCTTGCTGCGGAAGCGCGGCGCATGCGCCCTGCCGCGGATGTATCAGAGCGCCACACCCCTAAGGTGGCACACGCCAATTTGCAGACCCTGCTGGGGCGCTGGCTTGCAAAGCGTGGGCTGCCTTGCACATCCTGCGGGCCTGTGCGATGATCAAGTATGTGTGGATGACGTGTTCACGGTTGGAAACCCTTACATCGACTGGTTACAGTTTGATGACCAGGAAAACGGCGGATTCAAGGGCATCTACCCATCCTGCCTGCACCTATCCTCGGCCCGTGATGGCACTGCTGTTTGCTCTTTCCTGGACCTGGGGCTGCACGCCACCTCGCGAGCCGCACCCACACCCCGCGACCACGTACGGCGGCGGCTGCGGCACCGTCGAATGCCCCGGGCGAGTCTGATGCCACGACCACTGCCCCCGCCGGCCGTGGTTTTCTTGTCTACACACCTGTATGACAAACGGCGCAAGGAGGAGTTCCGTGCGATACGCGCACAGTCCCCCGTAGCCCGCTTCCCCCCCATCACCTCCAACCTGGCGGGCGCCTGCAAGTACAACATCCTCGATGCGCAATTCATCCGGTTCACTCGCATAATCACAGATCGCGACAATTTCTGCGAGGAATGCGCCCTCATATTTGGGGAGTTGGTCATGCATGGGTACACGCGTACCTCCCTTTGGAAAGCGCTGGACACGCTGTTCTTCCGACACAGCCCCCGCGTTTTCGGCGCGTCACCGTCTTGCATGGCCACGGATTGCTTGGAACGCATCTCCATATTTGCGGCCCAACATGACGGCAACCATGGCCTCGATGCGTGGGCTGCTGAAAAATTCCAGTCTGGACGGCTGCGCATTTAGGCGTGTTTTGGCAACCGCGGCGGTCGGCGGTCGGCGGCGACGGCGACGGACGGCGGACGGCGAGCGGCGCAGACAGCAGGCAGATTCTAGGGGCTTTAGGTCATGAACGATGCTTTGAGTTGTTGTGCATGCGCGCGGGGTTTTCAGGGGACTGATGTTGCGTGGTGTTGCGTCTTTCAGACACACGCCCTGCCTGTTGTGTGCGCATGCGAGCTGGGGAGCTGGGGTGGCAATTCAAGCCGGCTTGCAGCCCTATCATCATGACAATGCCAAATTTTTGTCTGGGGAGTTGCGCCACACAGCTGGTGAGTTTGGCTAGCTTTTCCTTACCCTGCCCTTTGGCGAGGCTTTTGGATTATGACTCATCTGCCTTCTGGCTCCTCTCAGCACCTTGCCAGACCCTGGCCACCCACGGACGCGTACCAGCATAATTCAAAGCTGAACTTCCGCGCCAACGGCTGGTAGGTTTTGCACACGCACTGCACTTCACAACCACCCGAGGCAACCTCCGGATTCCAGGCACACGGCTGGCGGGCGCGCTGAGCTTCGCGGCTGCTCCGACTCCTCTCCGTGCTTTTGTAGGTGTGTATAATTCGAAGCGGGGACACCTAGAAGTGTCTGTGGGTGCCCCCAGCTTCTTTTCCAGCCTGCACAGCCCCACACATACTGCACAGCCGTTGGCGCGGCTTTCACCCACTTCATCATACTAAGAATCTATATCAGTAAGGAACAAGACAGAGTTTCGGCCGCGCGCAGGTCTCCTATTGAGACCATTGATTACGACAACGACCGGAACCTACCGGTATTGAGGTATATTTGCAGATCTCCTTGGCTTGTCTCACCGCGCTAGACATCGTCGGCAGTGCGCTCATTTATACCGGTGTTGCGAGGGCCGTTACAGCTCGGCCAGCATCCCATGTACAGTAGAGCTGCAGTGCTGCCCGGGATGCAGGACGCGTCGTGCAGCAGCAGCACCGGGGGTGCAGCCACAGCGAGCTGCCACCCGGCGCTCGTCGCGGCGCTGAGCAAAGTGCTGTCCCTGTCGCGCAAGCTGGCCGCTCAGCAGCACTCGTCCTCGTTAGCCCAGATTGAAAACCTTAAACACGTCTGTTTCGCGGCCTCGCTGCCGCCCGTGGATGCGCCGCTGCCGAGGCCCCTGATAGACAAACTGATGCAGCAGCTGGCCGAGACGGGCGGCCCCCACACAGGCGTGGCGCTGTCTGCTTTCAAACTAGCGATCCAGGCGGGCAGCATCCCAATCACAGCGCGCGCGCGTCAGGTGCGTCGGCGCGCGTCGCAGTGGGGCACGCCCCGCACGCCTCGCTCGGCGTGCCCTGCCGCAAGCCCCCGGCCGGCGCCGCGCAGCTTGCAACCCGCTGCTCCACCGAAACCACAGGCCGCGCTGCACCCGGGGTTCATCGAGGCCGTGGCCGCGTTCGCCACAAAGTCCCCAGCCGATGCCTTCACGCGCATGGCGGCAGCCGCCACCCTGGCCCTGCTCGCACACGCGTGCGACGAGGCGCGGCGCGGTGTGGTGATGCAGGGTGACGTCACCGTCGATCTCATGCTTTCATGCCTACAAAAAGCGAGCGACGCGTCGGCCGCCGACGGCGAGCTTGGCAGCAGCCGCTGCGACCAGCTGCTGATGCTCTCTGTGCTGAGCGTGTTCAAGGAGGCGGGCGGCGCGCGGGCGGAGCGCGCGACGGGCGACGCGCACGCGCTGCGGGTCGCCGCGCAGCTGTGCGACCCCAGCTATGCTAAAACCGGCGTCGGCCGCGGGCCGGCGCTGCTCTACCTATCAGATGCATTTGCGCCGCCCCGCGGCCGCATGTCGGAGGCTGAGTGGCTCGACCGCCCTCCCTGGCAGCCGCCCCCAGAGGCGGGCCCGCTGCTCGAGCAGCTCTTCCCCCAATTTGCGAGCCTGCTGCTCGGGCCTGACGTGCCCAGAGACGCCCGGCTGGGGCTGCTGGCGCTCGTGTACCGCCTGCTGCGCATGCCTGGCTCGAGCCGCGGCGCCGCGGGTGCGCCGGCGCGAAACGCAAGGCGTTGCGTGCGAGCGCCGCCCTGGCCGCATACGGGCGGCGGTGCGCGTGTTGCGGCTGCTGTTTGTCACCACCATTGCAGTTTGATCACGACTCCCCAACCCCCTCAACCCTTCCATCGCTCGACCTGCCTCTGGCCGCCATATCCCCCCCCCCTCTTTTCGTCCGCAGAGTGCCTGGCCGACGATGGCGCCGTCCCCGCGCTGTGCCGCCTGGCGCTGCAGCAGCTGCAGCTCGCGCGCTGCGACCCCGAAGCGGGGCGCGAGCTGGAACTTACGCTCAGGGTGCTCGCGCAGGCGGCCGCGTCCCCGCTGCTGGTTGGGCAGCTTGCGCAGCACGCGCTGCCCGCGCTGCTGGCAGCGCTGCGCGGCGC